GAGGCCTGGGCCACGCCCACCTCCCTCTCTCCCTCCCTCCTCCCTCCCTCTATCTATCTATCTGTGTATATCTCCCTCCACCTACCTCTCTATCTACTCACCCATCACACATCACGTGCATCCACTGTCAACAGAAGAGCTGGGAGCTGCCTTTTTCCCCGGCGGCCCTGAGGCCTGGGCCACGCCCACCGCCCTGGCCCCGTTCCCCGAGTTGAGTCCGGCCCCTCCCCCCACGGCTGGGATCCCACACCCCGCACTCATTCCGCACCACCCCGCCGCACTTGCGCAAATGCCACTCAGGGTTAGTATCACCTCTTGTTGTATTCCTACGCTAGATCTAGACTCGACCAGTCGGAACTACTTTCTTTCTTTTTTTTCTTTTTTTTCTTTTTAGTTTCTCCTTTCTTGCCGTTGTTGTTGGTCGTTGATTGGTTTGAATTTGAATTTTGTTTTTCTCTGTCGATTTGTTTTTCCCTTTTTTTCCTTTTTGTTGTTGTTGTTGTTGTTTGGATTGATGATTGACTGTGTAGCAAAGGCTTTTAAAAATGGTTTTGATTGAATCAGCTTGCACGAAAATGAAAGCTACGCTGTTTTAGAGTGATGAACGTTGCCTTATCTGATTTGGCTTTTTAAACATTTTAAAGCATTTAATGTTTAGATTTTTTTTTAATAACAAAGGAACACATGCTTGGTTTCTTCAGTGATGTAGACCGCTACTCGCACGCTGGCTTACTTCCGGTGTATCAGGCTATTTATAGAACATCAGGTTAGCTTGAGGTTAGCTTCCTAGGACGAAGTGTGTTGAAAAGTCTCAGAGTGCCACAGTTCCCAGCTGGCCAAACTGAACTAACGCCTGGCATGCTCGGTGGTCTCTCCTTCTCTCACTCTCTGCGCATGCGTTGTTGATGAGATGAGTGCATTTGTCTGTCCGTGTGCCCTGATTGACTTTTAGTTCGGACCTTTCTTTGGTTTTGTGTGTGTGTGTGTTTGTGTGTGTGTGTGTGTGTGTGTGTGTGTGTGTGTGTGTGTGTGTGTGTGTGTGTGTGTGTTGTCGGGCCAAAAAATTGTATTTGCGAAGTATAGTGAATACATCGATGTGTTCTCTCTAATGTTATGTGTCAACACACACACGGACACACTTACGCAATACAGTGATCTGTGTACGTGCGTGAGTGCATGCGCGCGTGCGCGTGTGCGCACACACACTACACACACTCGCACACGCACGCACGCACACACGCACACACACACGCACACACACGCGCACGCGCGCGCACGCACACACACACACACACACACACACAC